GTGAGTGTCTGTTTCCTTATATACACACCAAGGATTTAGATATAATCATCAAATATGTGGACACTTACTACCCTAATCTGAAGTCCATCCCGTCATATTTTTCCGACCAAACATACTGGACCTACTCAGCAAGGTAATCATTAAAATGCCCACTTACAAATGAAATATTCCTTATAGTATCTGGTTCGTCATCTGTCAAACCACATCTCTTCAAGCGATTAAAGAGCTTGAGGTTTTCTCTGTTGCAACACATCTTCTCGCTCTCTACAACAAACTTCTCGGCCCGTGTATCGTTATCGCCATTGTTGGTAAGCCATATACGCAATTCATCTTGTATCGTTATTCAAGTGTCTTAGCATCGATGAGCAATACGATTACCTGGTTTTTTGCCGTAATGCTACCGTGCGTCCTTCAAATGCCGAAAGATTTGGCAAAATGCCTCACTTCCGCCTACCAAAGAAGGCTCATGGCACGAGATTTGACCGTAATGGCTCTATGCCTTTGCTACTTTGTTGCAGTAACTCTCCTTTGTATAATTTTTGTTTCACATTTTTTACTCACCTGTCATTGGCTGAATATAGGTGTTTCATTATACTCTTCACATAGCCAAACTGACTTCTTCACCGCACTGAGAGATCTTCTCGCCATAATGTCGTTAACAATAGTTTTCGGAAGCGATATGTATGCTTACGGATCAAGGGTGAGAAAAATGTTCAAATACTGATATAATGAATTTTCCCACTTTAGCATCCCTATAAAAGAATTAAACTTTTGCCTGACCTATCTAAATACCCCTACCATTTTAGAATAGCGCGGAGAATTGAATGTTTAGAGAACTCCAAATCCAAAAAAATCTGAAAATTTCTAGGATTCCGTCATGGAAGTGCTCTACTGGAGCTGCCTTGTCTTCCTAGCGAACTCTGCCCTTGCAGCCGCTATTGCGTCGATCATCCGGGCCTACGTAACGTGGTTGAATATTGAGGAAGTGGTTGCAACACCTAAAGAGCTCATGCGAAATTTAGAAAAAGAGAAGAAAGAACGGAAAAATCAGCTTGTCTACCATGACAAGTCCGAGTGATAGCTTGTCAGTCTGAGAATAGCCTTGTGAGTATGATAAATTGTTCTACCGCACTAGTGTTGATGACACTTTTTCAAACTTCTCTTCAAATCCTTTAAAAATTATAAA